TATTTTTCAGAGATTTTTCTTTAAATGATGAAAAATACCAAGATTTTTCAAGGAGATCTTGTTGTGTTGGGCGAGCTGTCCAAGTGAAAGGTTTTGAAAAATACAAAGATTTTTTTCAAAAATACAAAAATTTTCAAAGCGGTCTTGTTGTGTTGGTGACTTGCCTATGTGAAAAACATGAAAAATATGATGATTTCTCAAAACGATTTTATTGTAATGGGCAACCGACTCGAATGGAAGATTTTAGAGGTGGTGAGAAACGAAAGGGTTTCTCAAAAGATGGTTTCCTTATAATGAGCAACCGGCCCAAATAACAGGTGAAAAGAGTTTTCAAAGAGGTTTGATTGTGATAAGTGACCTACCTGAGTGAAAAACACAAAGATTTTTCAGAGGTTTTTTCCTTTTTTTCAAAATGGTGAAAAATACAAAGGTTTTTCAAAGTGATTTTGTTGTGACGGGCGACCTACCCGGGTGAAAAACATGAAGATTTTTTAAAAAGATGAAAGATATAGAGATTTTTCAAAGTGGTAAAAATTATGAAGATTTTTTAAAGTGGTGAGAAATGCAGAGATTTTTCAAGGAAGTCTTGTTGTAATGGACGACCTGCCCAGGTAAAAAAATGAAGAGTGGTCATATGGTAATGGGTGACCTACCCAGGTAAAAACATGGAATGTCTTGAAGAGATAACATGATGGGACTCGAAGATGCACTATTCGAGCAATGGAAGCTCGACGGAGCGTTCGAAAAGAGATAAGGCTCGAAAGGGAATGAAGGCTAAAAAGCACACTTGATAGGAGGTAGAGTTTAAAAAAACGCATTACATAAGAGGTGAGGGTTCAAAGGCGCGGTAGAAAAGAGGTAGGGTTAGAAAACGCATTACCTAAGATGGTTGAGAGTTCTGAGGCGCACGTAAATGGAGGCCGGGTTAGAAAACACACTAACCTAAAAAGGTGATGGTGAAACCGATTTGACAATATTGAAAGCAATGCATTATGATCAATATGCATGTATACTTACCTGAGAAATATAGGTCCCCATTTCTTCATGATGTCCTTCTTTTCTCAAAAGTTGGAGTGTTTGATAGTAAGCTTTAATGGCTATTTTCACTTTTGCTTACTCGAGTCGCATCTTGTGATCTTGACCCTCGGGTAGAATATGATATATATCTTATCCCTTAAACCTTTATCTGAAGGGATTTCCAGCTCAACCCAACATTTTCCATTTTCTTAGAAGGGGAATCATGGAGCCAACCCTATATGTTTTGGTGAATTGTCCTCCAGCTTGATCATGCCCCCAAGTATTTAGATCAGGTTTGAGGATGAGGTTAGGTGAAGGGAGGTTTGGTCTTTGACAAGGAGTTATTTTCTTGTAGATTTTTTGGAATTTCAAATCTATTCCAGACAAAAATTATTTTGACATTGATTCAAAGCAAACTCGTTCTGAAGAAATTCAAGTGATTCCTATGAAGAGGTTTTCAGAAGTGATGAAAACTTTTTATTTTGATTTTTGGTGAAAAATATGAAGTGACATTTGGTTGGTCACAAAAGGTTGAAATTTTAATTTGAGGGTTATTGGGAACCGTCTTTCAAAGCATTCATTTTATTTGCATGAATAATGATTTTGTTCCGCATGACAAAGCACTGCCTACCGATCCAGATTGCTTGTCTTTGATTAGAAAGGGCTTGATTAGGCATGTAGTATAGGCTTGGGGTATTGGTTATGAAGAAAAGGATATTTGTAAGCTCAAAAGGTGTTTAAGGGACTTTAAGACTAAAGATCACTATATCCCAATCTTTTTTGTTCATACATTTTTGGACGTTGGAATTGGTTTTGCAAGATGGTCCATGGTGCCCCCCAATGTTAGGCTTTTCCTTCCTTTGGTTTTGAGCATCATTATATTATCGATTTTTTTTTTACACGCTCAGATCTTTTGGAACTCTTTCATGCTCCCCAGCTTTGTTTGTCTCAGCTTTGTTTGGGCACTTTTATTGTTGATGACTTTTTTCATGCCCCCTAGAGTTGTTTGGGCATTTTTAGTTATTAAGGATTTTTTTGTTTTTATACTTGCCCCCCAGTGTAGAGTGTGATCCTAGCCAATGTTATTTTTTCAACAAAATATATTAGACTCAAAAGGGGACTTCAAGGGATTTTTAGAATTTGAGAAAGAGTTATCAAAGATGGCCTTTCTTCATTTCAAATGCATGCAGTTAGAATCGTTAAGCTTTGCTTTCTCACATGTGAACATGTAAAACAATTTCTCATTATTCATGTAATCAAAACTTAGCTTTTGGAGTCACTTCATGGTGTTTTTGTTTTGTAGTTGTTTTCCAGGTTTTCTAGGTGTATGCTTACCTCTCTAAGGAATCACCTGAATTTTCAGAACTCGTATGTTTCAGACAAAAATCAACATGATTTCTGTTTTTGTACTAAACTTTGAATTCCCAAAAATCTTTATCAAAACATGAGATCATGCATAATTTTAGGGGAAACACACTAAAGAAATCTTGGCCAAACTTCAATTTCATTGATTGAAAAAGGTAAATACATCAGGCGTAGTACTTCTTTACAACATCCGAGTTTACAGGTCTTGGTAGATCCCTTCCATCCATAGTAGTCAGAATTAAAGCCCCTCTAGAAAAAACCTTTTTCACTACATATGGCCTTTCATAGTTTGGTGCCCACTTGCTTTGATCTTCTCCTAATGCTAGTGGGATCTTCCTAACACCAAATCCCCTTCCTTAAATACCCTTGGTTTGACCTTCTTGTTGTAAGCTTTAGCTATCCTGCTTTGGTATAACTGGTGATGGCAGATAGCTGCTAGTCTTCTCTCATCGATCAAGGTTAGTTGCTTAAATCTTGACCTTGCCCACTCTGATTCGTCAAGTTCTGCATCCTTCAGGATCCGCAGTGGTGGGATTTCTACTTCTAAGGGCACAATTACCTCCATTCCATATACTAAAGAGTATGGGGTGGCATTTGTAGAAGTTCTAACCGTGGTACGGTACGCATGAAGTGCATATGGGAGCATCTCATGCCAATCCTTGTAGGTGACCACCATTTTCTGGATAATCTTCTTGAGATTCTTGTTAGCTGCTTCGACTGCCCCATTCATCTTTGGTCTATAAGGGGAGGAATTGAAGTGTTTAATCTTTCATTTGGTGCACAATTCGTCAATCAGCTTCCTATTGAAATTCTGGGCGTTGTCAGTTACCAATCTTGCTGGCAAACCATAACGATAGACCAAATCCTTTTCAATAAACCTCTTAACTACTTTCTGCGTTACATGGGCGTAAGAGTTGGCTTCTACCCATTTGGTGAAGTAGTCGATGGCCACCAAAATGAATCTATGCCCATTGCTCGCTTTAGGATTAATTGGCCCTATAACATCCAAACCCCACATATCAAAAGGCCAAGGCGAGATCATATTGAACAGAGGTGCTGAAGGCGCATTTATTTTGGAACAGAGGTGCCGGAGGCGCATTTATCTTGTTGCCATATATTTGACACTTCAGGATAATCTCGATGCTGGAGAAACTTCTTGATGTCATTGTACCATGGTTTCCCATATGGAGATTCTTCAATCAAGCAACAATGGGCTTGAAGCTTTGGACTTCGATATCTATTGGTTGGATCTTGCTTTTAGCATCAACTTGTGTCATTGAGGCTAAGGTTGCTAAGGCATCAGCAAACTGATTCTTATCTCTGCTTATATGAGTGAATTTGATTTCTTCAAATTCATTGGCTAACCTCAAGAGATAACTTTGATACAACTTCAATTTCTCATCCTTGGTTTTCCACTCGACTTTAACTTGGTAGATGATTAGTAAGGAATCCCCAAAAACCTCAAGCTTCTTGGCCTTAAGTTCTAGAGCAGCTTCTAGGCCAATGATGCAGGCTTCATACTCGGCAGTGTTATTGGTACATTCAAATAGTAACCTTGTTGAAACAGGATACTACTTATTTTCTAGGGAAATCACTACGGCTCCGGCCCCATTTCCTGATACATTTACTACCCCATCAAAGTAAAGGGTTCATTGATCGCCTTCTCCACTTTCATCTTCGACTACTATCACATCTTCATCTGGGAGGTCAAAGTTTAGCGGCTCATAGTTCTCCATGGCATGGTCTGCAAGATGATCGACAATTATGCTTTCTTTTACAGCTTTTCTTGTCATAAAGACAATGTCATATTCTGCTAACAACACTTGCCACCTTGCTATTCTACTTGACAGGTAAGGTTTTTCACAAATATACTTGAGCGGGTCTAATTTTGAAATCAGCTAGGTTGTGTAGTATAGCATATATTGCCGAAGTCTTTTCGCACTCCAAACTAAGGCACAACACAACCTCTCAATTGTTGTATATCTTGACTCATAATCATTGAATTTTTTACTCAAGTAGTAAATAACTTGCTCTTTCCTTCCTGACTCATCATGTTATCCCAGCACACAGCCCATAGCTGTTTCTGTTACTATCAAGTACATAATCAAAGGCCTCCCCGGTGTTGGAGGTACTAATAATGGTGGATTTTGCAAGTACCTCTTTACTTTATCAAAAGCTTCCTAACAATCATTGTCCCATACTCTTGGATTTTTCTTCTTGAGCAAATGAAAAATTGGTCACAAGTCACCATCAACTGGGATATAAACCGGGCTATGTAATTCAAGCGCCCGAGGAAACTTACCTCCTTTTCTGTCTTTGGGGCAGGCATCTCCTGAATAGCTTTAGCTTTATCAGGATCAACTTCTATTCCTCAACCATTTACTATGAAGCCCAATAGTTTTCCTGTTTTCACCCCAAATGAGCATTTTGCAGGATTCAACTTTAGTTGGAATTTTCGCAGCCTTTCAAATAGTCTTCTTAACACTTACACATGATCTTCCTCTTTCTTCGATTTTGCAAGTATGTCACCCACATAAACTTCCACTTCTTGGTGCATCATATCATGGAACAAGGTAAGCATTGCTCTTTGATATGTGGCTCCAGCATTCTTCAATCCGAACGGCATTACTTTATAGCAAAATGTCCCCCAAGGTGTGACAAAAGTGGTCTTCTCTTTATCTTCTTCTACCATTCTAATTTGATTATAACTAGAGAATCCATCCATAAAAGAATATGTAGCATTTCTTGCAACATTATCAACGAGAATGTCTATATGGGGCAAAGGAAAATCATCTTTTGGACTCGCCTTGTTCAAATCTCTATAGTCCACACACACCCGAATCTTCCCATCCTTTTTTGGGACTACGACCATATTGGCTACCCATTGTGGATATTGGACTACATCTAGAAACCCTGCATCCCACTGTTTTCGTATCTCAGATTTTACTTTGAGTAACATGTTCAGGCGCATTCACCTGGTTTTCTGCTTAATTGGCTTGCTTCCTTCTATTAAAGGAATCTTATGTACTACTATGTCAGTATCTAGACTAAGTATATTTGCATAAGTCCAAGTAAAAATATCTACATACTCGTGTAATAGAGAAACTAGTCTATTTCTTTCTTCCATTGTAACAAGAGTGCCAATCTTTAATTCCTTATTTTCTTGTTCGTCTCCCACGTTAATGGCTTCTAGTCTCTCACTGGCCGGTTCCCAGGCTTTTTCTGAACTTTTTACCAGCTTAGTAAACTCTCTTATATCTTCCTCTCCCCATTCTTCATCATCCGTTGCAATCATATTATCAAAGTTTGGCCAATTATTCTTAGTGCAATGGTTTTGTGAATCGATGGAACTTTCAGGGTTCCTGAAAGTGCAATGCGTGCTCGTGTAAGTGTGATTCATGAAAAGATAAAAGATGCAGGCACACTTTGGACACAAGAAAATGCATGATCTCATTAAAACAAAAGTGTTTGGTTAACATAGAAAATCTT